CTCTCTCTCTTTCTCTCTCTCTCTCTCTCTCTCTCTCTCTCTCTCTCTCTCTCTCTCTCTCTCTCTCTCTCTCTCTCTCTCTCTCTCTCTCGGGCAGCCCGTCCTCACCGACCGATATCTGGAGAGCGAGCCGCGTTGAGGGAGTTATGAGATGGCAGGGTGTGCCAGCGCGGGCAGCTGCCTCAAGTGTGTCTTGGAGTGCAGGAGAAGAGGCTGCTGTTGTGTGGTACTGATAAGATGCCCTTCTTTCTTGTGCAAGGCCTGCATGTGGCCGTTTCACCAACAGCTTGCCGCAATACTAATGCATCACCAACCTCAAGGTCGACTGCCCCCCCCCCAGCACGCGGCCCTGACGTGCCCATTTGGGCTTGAAGCACCCCAGATTGGTGCTGAATCCTGTGGTCCTATGCCCCGTGCTGGCAATGGCGTCGTGTGGAGCTGCGATGACAGTGTCGCTGGATGGTTTTGCATTATCTCTGGGCCTTCTCCAGCACAGGAGTGCTCTCTGGCCAGATTGACACTGTTGGCATGGGATTGTGACCTGGCCTGTCAACACAGTGGGTTATGACAGCTTTTCACAGCATACTTGGGCTTTTGCCACGCAGTTTGCATAGCCTGCAAGACTAGTGTGGGAGATGCCAAGAAACAAATTACAGCAACAGAGATCACCCGCCACAAATGCCAAATCTGCGCAGGTCCAACCGGCGCCACTGAGTTCCAATACCCCTGGCTGCCACAGAGAGCGGAACTTGTGCTACCAAGCGCAGAGCCAGGTGCGCCCCTCAACATTTGACGCCCATCCCAGTCCCAGCAGCAGCAGCAGCTCCCAAGGGGCAGCCAGCAAGGTCACAGCAGCGGGCACACATGGCAGCGCGTACCGTGGCTCTGCAAGCCCATACATCTGTCTTCGCTGATGTGTGGCGCCGGCAACGTCAACACTCGATCGTGCGAGAGCACATTGGCGCCCGTCTGTCCAATCGTGACAACATGGTGCCCCGGCAGGTGCTGTCCGCCTTGCGGCGAACGCGGCGGCCGCAGACAGAGGGCAAAACTCATGAAACAGGGCAACGGCGTATAACCCTAGCGCTTCAAGTCAAGGCTGAGCGGCTGGTGTCGCGCACCAACGAGGGTCGCTTCTCAGCGGCCGAGGAAACAGTTGCGGGGAGTTTGGACGCGCACGCGCGAGGGGGTGATGCGGTGGTTCCTGGCTCAACCCGATAACATCATGATGTAAACGAGCCGGCAGACATAAGGGTGGATCGCGGCCCGGCCACCAAACAAGTGGCCACCAAACAAGGTGACCAAGCAAGACAAACGCCAGCGTGGGGCGAAGGCACCCGCCCTTTCCGGCTGCGCCTCATTTCTGCCTCCACCACCTGGCGCCGTTCGAGGCCGCGACCGCTGGAGCCAGCTCCTGCGCCGGCCACCCCCCGCTGCTGAGCGGCATCGCCATGGGCCGCGGCGCTGCAGAGGCGCGGGGCTGCTGGCCGGTCGCGTAGCTGGCCGCCTGTCGCGACTCGGCGGCCCGCTCCCAATGCTGCTGCTGGGGCCCTGCAGAGGCCTGATGGCGGCAGTGCTGGCCGTGCTGCTGCTGCTGCTGCTGCTGCTGCTGCTGCTGCTGCTGCTGCTGCTGCTGCTGCTGCTGCTGCTGCTGCTGCTGCTGCTGCTGCTGCTGCTGCCGGTGCT